CCGTGCGGCGGAGTTTCTGGGGCTCCAGACGCCCCGAGGCGGCCGCATACTCTGCAACGGGGCGAAATGGGCCAGGACGGAACGGGCCGGGTCAAGACCTCGAGAAAGGAGGTGCCAGAGCAGCCCCGGCCCTGGGGGACGCACACACAGAGCTGGGAGGCAGCGAGACGCGGGGCAGCCAGGTGAGTGCCGGGCCCTGGGTGCAGGTGTGGCGAGGCCTCGGCCTGGCGAGCTGCGGGCGAGCTTGTGGCAGCCCCTCTGGGCGCTCAGCGAGCTTCTGTGGCCCCAGCCAAGCATCACGGGGGGCACGCGGAGCCCTTCTGCCGCCTCGGGGCACGTGGAGGGGTTGACTGGGCACGTTCTCACTCCCCAGGTCACCGGTCTTCAGGTCGTACAAAATCCGCTGCTTAGCGCGCCTGTTTAGTTTTTTGTTCCAATGGTTATTGTTTTTTGGAGTCAGGGTCTCGCTCTGTGGCCCAGGCTGGAGCGCAGTGGCACGATCTCAGCTCACTGCAGCCTCGACCTCCTGTGCTCAAGCGATCCTCCTGCCTCAGCCTCTTGAGTGGCTGGGACTACAGATGTGTGCCACCACGCCCCGCTAAGTTTTAAATTTTTTAGAGACAGTGTCTCACTGTGTTGCCCAGGCCAGTCTCAAACTCCTGGGTTCAGGCGATCCTCCTGCCTCACCCTCCCAAAGTGCTGGGATTACAGGCGTGCCCAAACAACTATAATTTTCTTCTAGAACTTGGAAGTGAAATCCTGCCTGTTTCAGTTTTTCCTGTTCTTTTTGTAATGGCCTGTGCCTGTCTTGTGAACTTGAGTATGGCTTTTGTGTCTCGGATGTTGTAACGCCACATATTCAAGGCCGCCTCCGATTCTCCGCCAAGGCCTCCCGGTCTGCAGCCTGTGTTCGTTCGGGCAGTGAGTGTGTCTGTGAGTTTATGATGAGGTTTGTCTGTGACCCGTCTCCTGTGGGCATGTCCTCCTGGAAAGCCCCGCCACGTCCCAGCTGGGCAGTCCGGACGCGGAAGGCAGTTTTCACCCAACTCCTCAGCCCGGCCTTTCCACGCTCACTTCTCGGGGCCTCAGCTGAGCACCCTGCTCGGATCTCGGGGCTCCTCCCTGCCCACAGCCCGGGCCGACATCCCGATCAGGGCCTCCCAAGCTGACGGCGCTTCTAGACTCCTGGGGGACGATATGGGCCGTTCTCAGGTTCTGACTGTGAGCAGAGACGCCGCTCTGTTCCGGGCCAGGCCCTGAACCCCCGCCCTTGGCGAGTCCCCATCTTTGTGCCCCAGGGACCTCTTGGCTTCTGACCCATGCCCCCCTTGCCTGGCGTTGTCTGGGCTTGGGGCACCCAGAGAGCGTCCTTTCTCGCCTTGCAGTGTGTTGTGTATTTCACGTTTGTTGGTTTGTTTAGAACTGGGGTCACACTATGTGGCCCCAGGCTGGTCTCAAACTTCCAGCCTCAAGCGATCCTCCTGCCTCAGCCTCCCAAAGTGCTGAGATTACAGGCACCAGCCCCTGTGCCCAGCAGATGGCGATTCATTCAGAATCTCCGGGTTGGGGTGTAGAAACGCAGCCTCATGTGTCGTCCATCCTCCGCGGCTGGCTCTTCCACCCTCAAGGCAGCTTCTGAAAGACTAAAAGGGGTGAATTCCTATTTTTGTGGAATACGCCATGTCCATCATGGTAGCCACCAGCCACAGGTAGCTACTTAAATTTAAGTTAGTTCAAATTAAATAAGATTTAGGGCCAAGTGCCACGGCTCATGCCTGTAACCCCAGCACTTTGGGATATTGTGGCGGGAGCATTGCTCGAGCCCAGGAGTTCAAGACCAGCCTGGGCAACATCGTGAGACCCCATCTTTGCAAATGGCACATGCGATGACAAACGCAGATCCTCGGTCTCACCAGCCATGTTTCAGTGGCCGTGTGTGGACGGGGCGAGGCAGAACAGCCCCCTCCCCGCAGCAGGGTCCGTGGGGCCGTGCCCTCCCTGCGGTCCCCCGTGTCCTGACCCCCTTCTCACCCTCACCCAGGTCTATTTTGCCGTCTACACCTTCAAGGCACGGAACCCCAACGAGCTGAGTGTGTCCGCCAATCAGAAGCTGAAGGTCCTCGAGTTCAAAGACGTCACGGGCAACACGGAGTGGTGGCTGGCCGAGGCCAACGGGAAGAAAGGCTACGTTCCATCCAACTACATCCGCAAAGCCGAGTACACCTGAGGCCGCCGCCCCACGCGGCCTTGCCGCCGACACGTCTGCGACACGTCTGCCAGAGGGTTCGTGCTCCGCTGGGCCCCGGCTCGGGGCCGTGTGGCTTAGCCAGGGCGTGGCGAGCCCTGGACGGGTTGTAAACCCCTCATGCTCTAGAATTCCTAGGGTTTGAAACAGACCCCGGGGCTTCATGCGACTTTAGTGACCACAAGGAGGGAGGCGCGTCCGGGCTCAGCCCTTGGAAGCAGCAGCCTCTGGTCGGACGTCCAGCGTCCTGTGTGTGTGCGCAGCGTGTGCCAGCACTGGGAGCCGTGGCTGGCGGTGTGCCGCGCCAAGCCTGGGGGCAAGAGGAGCCTCCAGGAGCCTCTCGGGGCGGCACTCGCACGTGGCCGGGACTGGTCGCATCCCACCCGGCCTGGTGTGTGTCTCACGGCCTCCCTCCTGACTGCTTACGTCCCTGGCACCCTCCCTCCTGTGACTTTCTTTGGCCGCACTCCCAGGCTGGTTGTGCTGCTGTCAACTGCTTCTTCCTTAAAGGAGCGTGGAGGGCCTCTCTTGCTCTGACCTTCACCTGTGGTCCCTTCCCTCGTCGGACACGGTCATGGCACCTTCCTGACAGCCTCTCTCTGCAGTCTGTGTGTGTCTGCCTTCCTCTGTCCCGGAACTCAGTAGCTGACAGGTATTCCCAGAACAGCAGGGCCAGCTCCGTCACCAGGTGAGCTCAGCAGCGAGCAGACCCTGGTCGGGCCTGGTGGAAGACGGATGCCCCCTCCTCGCAGCTCACCACCACTGCCTAGCGACGGCCATGCGTGCAAAAACGTGACACTTGTGACTTATTGGAGTTAGAGTAAGCAGTTCCAGAAGCAGCTGATCCTGGACTCGGAAGTGCAATTTTCCGTCTCGCCACTTGCCTCCTGGCTTCAGAGACGACATCAGAGCCAAGCAGACGCTCAAGTGCCTGATCCAGCCTCCCGCCAGTCTCAGGAAGACGCCGCCACCCCCCATGAAGGCTCTCCCCGAAAGTCTGTTTGGCGGGCTCTTGCTCTTACGAGCTTCCCCGGACGTGAAGCTACCGTGGAAGGGGAGGCGGCGAGTCCTCGAGTCCTGTCTTGCGAGACGGGAGTCAGAACAGCCTTACAGCCCCGCCCCTCCTGGGCGCACACTTGGCCTTAACCTCCTGGGGCTTCGGGAGAACCAGGCCTGTGGACTCGCCACGGCGCCTCTGCCGACTGCGGTCGGACGCAGGAGCGCGAGTCTCCTGTGAAGAGTGTTTCTACTTAGAGATGTTTATATTTAAGTAGCTATTTTATAAATAAAAGCATTTCTAATGGCCATGTTTTCTTGAGTTCCCTCTGTGTCTCACCTGGATGTTTTTCTTGGGCTTCTGGGGGTGCCTTCTTGGCAGTGGTGCCCAGGTTCTGGGAGGACAGGAGAGGCCGGCTGAAGAAACGTAGCTCAGAATTCTTTTCGTCAAGTTTGTCGACAGAATCTCCATGTACTCAAAAATGTCCTGCAGCAGGTCACCTCCATATTTCGAGCCGTCTTGTACTATAAAATTCCAGCAGAACAAGAGCTGGGAGTTCTGAGGGGTGGGGAATTGAAGTGTTGCAGATGTGAAAACTGAGGCACTGGAGACAGGGTCCCACAACCATGGGCCAGGCAGGTGGGGGGCGGGGAGGAGCAGGGCACGTGGCCGAGGTGGGAGTGAGGACAGCATGGGGGTGACAGTGACGCCATCTCCCAGCATTGCTAAGGAGCAGAAAAACGGGGCTGAGGTCAGGCACAGTGGCTCAGCCCTGTAATCCCAGTACTTTGGGAGGCCGAGGCGGGAGGATTGCTTGAGGCCAGGAGTTTGAGACCAGCCTGGGCAACATAGCAAGACCCCATTTCTACAAGAAAAAAAAAAACTTCCAAAATTTAGCTGGGTGTGGCAGCACACACTTGTAGTCCCAGCTGCTCAGGAGGCTGAGGTGAGAGGATCGCCTGAGCCCAGGAGGTCAAGGCTACAGTGAGCCGTGATCATGCCACGGCTCTCCAGCCTGGGCGACAGTGAGACCCGACTTGGAAAAACAGAAAAGGAAACAAGGCTGAATTGATGGAGTGTGTGGGAAAGAAGCTTACAGGTCATTTGGCCTTCATTTCACAGACCAAGAAAACAAGGTCCCCAGACATTCTTACTTGCCCGAGTCGCGCGTCCAGTTTTTGACGGGCTGTGACTTTACCCCTGGCCCTCTGGCACGGGCTGGGTCTTTCTCTCTGCCTCGTGCAGGGCGGCACCGCACAGCTGTGGCCTTGGCAGCTGCCCGACCTACCCTCGGGTCCTGGTTCAAAGCGTGACAGTACAGCTCACCTCACAGAGCTTGGAGGACTCAGTGAGGACCCTGTCCCACAGATCTGCAAGGACCCAGGAGGACGTCACAAAACGGTGGGGAGGACTTGCCAGTGCGCGTCCCCGCAGAAGCATCCTTTGAACAATTGTCCGTGCGTGGAAATACCTTCCCGAGAGCCCAGGAAACCGGGCCAGAGATGACAGCCCCTGGGCGCAGCACAGAAATGACAGATGCATTGAGAGCAGGCAGGACATTTTCATGCTGTGTTTGTCACCCCTGCTGTGACCCCAAGCAGCACAGTGTGGGGAGGAACACTCTCTGCATGGGGGAAGGAAGAAATCGAGCCCTGGAATTTATCTTTCTTCCTGTCTTTTTCTTTTTCTTTTTTTTTTTTTGGAGTCAGTCTCACT